GAGAGAGAGAGAGAGAGAGAGAGAGAGAAGGAGAGAAGGTGCCCGGTGTATTATAGGGGGGTCCTCCGGCAGATTAGGCCTAAGTCAGCCTAACTAGGGGCTGGTACAGGGCAAGCCTGAGCCAGCCCTAACTATAAGCTTTATCAAAGAGGAAAGTCTTAAGTCTAATCTTAAATGTGGAGACGGTGTCTGCCTCCCGGACCGTAACAGGAAGATGATTCCACAGGAGAGGAGCCTGATAGCTGAAGGCTCTAGCTCCTGATCTACTTTTGGAGACTTTAGGTACCATTATTAACCCTGCGTTCTCAGAGCGCAGTGTTCTGGTGGGATAATATGGCACTATGAGCTCACTAAGATATGATGGAGCTTGACCATTTAGAGCTTTATACAAAATAAGACAAAACTTGTTTGCTTCCATTTTTCACAGGTTTGAGTTAAAGATCTAAGATGTGTGCAAACAACTTATTTCTCTCAAATTTTGTCAGTGTTAATGAGCAAGATAATCCATCCACCTGACAGGTCTGTCATATCAAGATGCAGATTAAACAGCATCATTACCACACAGCTATGCCTTAAAATGGTCACAATAAAAGGACAGTCTTTAATGTGCAGTTTTCTCATACAACTGCAACACAGATGTCACAAATTTTGAGTGAGCGTGCTATTGGCATACTGACTTCAGAAATGTCCACCAGAGCTGCTGCCCGTGAACCAAATGTTCATTTCATTACCGTGAGCTCTCCAGTGTGGTTACCATGAATTTGGCAGTACATCCAACCAACCTCACAACCACAGACCACATGTAACCAAACCAGCTCCACATCCAGCATCTCCACCTGCAAGATCGTCTGGGACCAGCCACCCGAACAGTCGATGCAACAATTAGTTTGAACAACCAAAGAATTTCTGCAGAAACCATAAGTCATTTTAGGGAAGCTCGTCTGCATAGCCCCTCACCAGGGTCTTAATTTGACAGCAGTTTGACCGTTGATGGTGTCTCACACTTGGGAGAAGTGTTCTCCACAGATGTTTTTTAATATATATATATATATATATATTTGTCCATAAACAAAGTAGTCGAAATGTGACTTGTATTACACACAATTATGGTAGAATAGAATGGGGTCAGCCTTGCCCAATCTACTGCTGCCATCCCACACTGTATACTTGGTCCATACAGAGACTTGAGCTGTCGACCCTCTAGTTCCCAAGCCAAGGCCCCACAGACTGAGCTACTGCCTCCCAGGTGACTTCCAGTTTACACTGTACCAGGCAGATGGCAGATAGCATACATTGTGTCATGTGGATGAGTTGTTTGTTACTGCTAATTTAAAGAGAGTGCCCCGTGATGGCAGTGGGGTTATGGTGTGTGCTGCCATAACGGGGCAGCACACACCATGATGGCAGTGGGGTTATGGTGTGTGCTGCCATAAGCTACGGACAAAGGAATTTTATAGGTGATAATTTGAATGCAAAGAGATACTGTGATGAGATTCTGAGACCCATATTGTCAGACTGCAAAATATTCTTATATAAATCTTCACCTGTTGCCAGGTGCGCTTTTGTCCACTTGTATTTGTGCTGTATGAGCATTAAATGAGATAGATTATAGCCTATAAGAGATTGGCGCAATGAATCAAGACTCATCATGGTACATTTCCTGAATAATATTAACTTCCACTGCTCACCTTTAAGGCAAAGTGTACAAGTGGTAATTTGTGAAAGGAACTTTAATTGTAATTGTGACAGATTGATTTGCGCAGCAAGTGTATACTTTTAGATTACTTACGTAATTGTCTGCCACGCATTTTCTCTCTGCTTAATAATTGCTGCTGTGTTTCCTCTTTTAGTTATTATGTGTTTAACCTCCTCATCAGTCTCCATGATGACACGCTACTCACTGGGCGAGAAGTAAGCCTCATGTGTCCTCTCCATTGGTGCATCAGTGAAACTGTGATCAACCCATGTGGTCTATTTAAGAAAGCTGTGGACGTGCACTTACCTGAATAAAATACACCTTGCTTGACTTAGCCGTTCCTCCTCAGCCTGGCTTGGCGTTCGAACAACCAATTAAGCCAGGATGGACTTATCAGACTTTGTCCAGCCTTGCTTTTCCACTTATCCTGGATTGCTTAATTCTGCTTTCGAACAACGGGCCCCTGGTCCTCTTTGCAATATGTTTTGGATTGTTGTCCACCTGCGTCTCATCCTTACCGTCCTGGTGGATGGCAACAGATTCTTCTCAAAAAGTCCTGGTACATGACTCGATTCATCTTCCCTTTGATAATTTGGATTCTGCTGGTCCCATGAAGAAACAGCCTCATGCCATGATGCTTCTACCTCCAAACTATACTGTAGGTATGGTATTTTTAGGGTCAGATGCAGAGAAATTTCTCCTCCAAACATGGCACATCCTACTGATGCAGGAAAGTTAGATTTTGTCTTGTCTGACCGTCTTATTTTCTTCTAGTAATCTACAGGCTTCTCCAAATGTTGTGTAGCAAACTTAAAAGAATATTTTGGACAACAATACGATGACATATATATCCTTTCAGTCACGAGATAGGAGCTGAAATCACTGACTGGCAATTGTAAAACTGCATTTTATGGGTTGATTTGTCCCCTTAAAGGTATTTCAACCACAGACTAAAATTAATGGACATAGCTACCATGACGTCACCCATTAGCTTTTGAACTCTCATTCTGATGCCTTGAGTTTATGATTTTGGCCGTCGCCATCTTTTTTTGGAGTCAGAAGTGACCATATTTGGATGGGAGGGTGAAGCTGTGGAGGAAAGAGAGGTGGATCTGACTGAGAAGAGCACACTATCTACAGACAGCCTGTCACTCAAGCAGCTCTACCCTTAAATATGCATAATTTTAAGCCTTCATAAAATGTCAACAGGTGAGTTGTATAAAAATTCACCATAATAATTGTCGAATAATTGTTGAAATTACCTATAAAGACCAAAACCAAATTTTATTTTATTTTTTTACCAGGATGTAAATATGTTTATTTCTGCTGTAAAGTTGGACATTTTAACATGGGGGTCTATGGGGACTAACTCACTTTTGGAGCCAGCCTCAAATGGACTTTTGATGATCTGCAGTTTTTGGTACCGGCACATTGGCTTAATTTTTCATGCTCTGAAGTTGCCACTCAATTTCAACTGGTTAAAAGGACGAGGTGAGCTATGATTGTTCACATATAACCCTCATGAATGAAATCAAGTCATTTTATGGCACATATAACCTTTCAGTCACAAGATAGGAACTTAAATCACTTTTCGGCAAGTGTAAAATTACATTTTTTGGGTTGAATTGCCCCTTTAAAGATATTTCAACTGGTATAAAGGACTTGGTGAGCTATAATCTGTCACATATAACCCTCATGAATAATAATACTTTCTTAAATGTATCTAAAACTAAGGAGTTGATTTTTGATTTTAGCCCTAATAGAGACACAGCCAAGGAAAGCATTATTCACAATGACACTGTGGAAAGGGTTACCTCATACAAATATTTAAGTACCTCTTTTGATTAACATCTTAAATTTGTTGTAAACACTACAGATATTGTGAAGTGAAGGCAACAGAGAATTCACCTTCTCCATGAACTAAATTCCTTTTCCGTCAGTCCCGTCATCCTCTGCCATTTCTAACAGTCTTTTATTGACAGCCTCCTGTATTTTTCATTTATCTGCTGATTTCACAGCCTTATATTGACAGACTGAAACAGTGTAAATAGAATTGTTAAAAATCTGCTCTAAAATCACACGAGTGACGCAAAGGAACTTCCTGGTTTTTGCAATTAGCAAATCCGTCCGAAAGCCACAAGTATTTCAGCTTCTACTGGACATTTTCTTGGACATGTTCTTGCTATGACGATATGACGAATATGATTGACATAAATGCTTATTGGCATGTGCTCTTTACATTACATTGGCATATACTATCGTTGACTCCAGGTAGTGTGTGAATCATCTGTTTTTTTGCTTACACGGTCATTCTTAGCACTATAAATGTGTGTGTGTC